GAAACAGAGTTTGAGTTTATGTATGTTACCGTGTATGTCCGAAATACAAGATTTACGATAACTTAATAATTATTATGCGGACAAACAAGGAAACATACGTGAATTTGAATGTTTTCAAAACGACTAAAAATCTGGTCAGTTTTTCGCAGCTAAATATTATTTCCGTGGTCAGTTATCAAGTGCGATCGCACCTGTTTCCCGACCAAGCCTGGTAAATTATATAAAACCATAAAGTGACTTTTGAAACAATGTTTAAAAAAGAACACTTAAATTGGAAACTTTAATAAAGATACTTCTATATTCAGTAAAAACAAGAGATGACTTTTAAAAAAATATGAAACTATGAAATTTTAAAAAATAAATTATGAAAAAATGAAGAAATATGACCTTGAGGTGACTTTTAAAAAAATATGAAAAGGAAGAATAAACTAAAAGTCAAGTAGTTTTCTTCTAAATGTGTTATTTTGATACTAAAGAACTTGAGATAAATTTAAAACAGTATATAACAAGGAACAATAAAGCAAACCATAAGGCAATATAGACTTTTGAAAAATACTTTAAAAATATAATTCAGACAAACAAAATAAAATCTAACATGACTTTTAAATAGATCATCCTATTCATATTTTAAAAATCCGGACAATTGTTTGAATAAAATACTCGGAAAAAATCCAGAATGTATATTCCCTTTTTTTAAAATTTTTAATTTTGCCTTTAGCTAAGTTGTTTTAATTTTTTTTTGACACTTTTCATATTTTTTCTATGAGTGATGAAGGAAAAAGCCTAAAAACCAAATATATTACAAAAATATACATCTCAACTTGACATATTTAAAATGTTTTGAATATCCGGAAAAACTAAAAAAAAATATCAGGATTTCAAGAAATATACGGAAAAAGATAATCCCTGCTTTTAAAATGAAATTTAGAAAGCAACAAAAAAGCAAACTTTAAGGCAACTAGAATTTTTTTATTTACATATTTTTATAGTAAAACTCAATAAAGCAGAAAAAATTTTGAAACGATATATAAAAAGGGAGGATAAACGAAACCTTAAAGAGACATCTAGATTACTTTTAAAATACTTTGTTATATAACTAAAAAACTTTATGTAAAATTCAAAACAATATATAACAAGGAACAATAAAGGAAACCTTAAGGCTACATAAAGATTTTTAAAAGATATTCTTTTAAAAATCAGCCAAACAAAAAACAAAAAAATTGTGACTTTTTTAAAAAAAATAAAAAATAAATAAATAAAAAAATAATGTCAACATTTAATTTTTTTCACAGATATTTTTAAAATTAAAATTAAGCCAACCAAAAATATTTTAAGAAAGTTTTTAAAACTTTAAAAAGGGAACAATAAAACAAACTTTATAGCAACATTTATTTTTTTTACATTTTATAAATATTTAAATAGTGAAACTCAATTAAAAAAAAAGAAACTTGAGGTGACTTTTAAAACAATATTGAAATAGAGAAAATAAACTAAACCTTAAAGTGTCATTCAGATTTTTTTTTTTAATTTAGGTAAAAATTAAAACAATATATAAAAAAATAAAGTAAAATATTATTCAGACAAACCTAAAAACCTTAAGGTGACTTTAAAAACTAAGTTAAAAAAAAACTAATCACAATATATAACAAGGAACAATTAAGCAAACCTTTAGGCGACATATTAACTTTTTTTGAGATATTTAAAAATATAATTCAGCTAAACAAAAAAACCTTAAGGTGACTTTTAAAACTAAATAACTAAAACATAATTTTTTAAAATAAATAACAAGGAGCTACCTAACAAACCTTAAGGCAACATATAGACTTTCTGAGAATATTTTAAAAATATAATTAAGCCAAACATAAAAATCTTAAGGTGACTTTTTATTGATTAGGTTTACATGGCAATAGTACACAAAGCAGTTTATAATAATTTATGAAAGTTACTCATTTAAAGGATTTAATGGTTTAGCAATAATTTTTGAAGAAATTTAGGTTAATGTGAATGTAAACAAAACTTTGATTAACATCCACCATAAAGGGAATTTTAGAACAAAATATAAAAAAGAAAAAGAAAATAAACCTAAAGGCAACATCTAGATTCTTTCACAGATATTTTTATAGTAAAACTCAATGTTAAAAAAAAACTTGAGGTAAATTTCAAAACAATATATAAAAGGGTAGAATCAACTAAACTTTAAGGTGTCATCTAGATTTTTTTCAGAATATTACAAAGTAAACTTTTAAAAATAGAAAAGAAAAAAGCAAAGTTTAAAACAATACATAACAAGGTAAAATAAAGCGAAACTTTAAGGCGACATAAATATATATATATATATATATATATATATATATATATATATATATATATATATATATATATATATATATATATATATATATATATATATATATATATATATATATATATATATATATATATATATATATATATATATATATATATATATATATATATATATATATATATATATATATATACTTAAATACTTCATTTTATAACTGGAGAAAAAATCTAAAACATTATATAACAAAAAAACCAAACATAAAAACCTTAAAGTGACTTTTTATATAATATATAAAACTGGACATTAAAACAACAAATAATGTGACAACTAGATTTTTATATAGCTAGTTTATAGTAAAATTCAATAAAAACAAGAGAATGTTGAAATGACTTTTAAAACAATGTAAAAAAAGGAAAAGTAAACTAAACCTTAAAGTGTCATTCAGATTTGTTTTAAAAAGATGAGGTAAAAATTAAAACAATATATAACAAAGAACAATAAAGTAAAACATATAGGGACATTAAATATTTGAAGATATTTTTAAATATAATTCTGCCAAACAAAAAAACCCTAGGGTGACTTTTAAAATAAGCAAAAACAAATTTACAATTTATAACAAGAAATAATTAAGGAAACTTTAAGGTGACATATAGACTTTTTAAAGTTATTTTAAAATATAATTCAGACAAACATAAAAACCTTAAGGTGACTTTTAAAACTAAGTTAAAAAAATAAAAAAATTTCACAATGTATAACAAGGAACAATTAAGTAAACCTTAAGGCGACATATGGACTTTTTTTAAGATATTTAAAAATATAATTCAGCTAAACAAAAAAACCTTAAGGTGACTTTTAATTTTTATTGATTAGGTTTACATGGTAATAGTAAACAAAGAAATTTATAATAATTTATGAAAGTTAATCATAGTTTTTTTTTTATTTTATAATACATAATTTCGATTACATTTGAAGGATTTAATAGTTTAGCAATAATTTTTGCAGAAATTTAGGTAAAGGTGAAAGTTAACAAAACTTTGATTAACATCCACCGTAAAGGGAATTTTAGAACAAAATATAAAAAAGAAAAAGAAAATAAACCTATAGGCAACATCTAGAATTTTTCACAGATATTTTAATTGTAAAACTCACTATTAAAAAAAAAAAAATTGAAGTAAATTTCAAAACAGTTCATAAAAAGGTAGAATCAACTAAACCTTAAGGTGTCATCTAGACTTTATTAACAAAAAAAACCAAACATAAAAACCTTAAGGTGACTTTTTATACAATATATAAAACTGAACATTTAAACAACACTTAAGGTGACAACTAGATTTTTATATAGCTAGTTTTATAGTAAATACAGTAAAAACAAGAAAAACTTGTAGTGACTTTCAAAACAACATTGAAAAAGAAAGAATAAACTAAATCTTAAGGTGCATCTAGTTTTTTATGCAATATGTTAACTTATTAATAAAGAAACTTAAGATAAATTTAAAACAGTATATAATAAAAAACAATAAAGGAAACCTTAAGGGATAAAGATTTTTTGAAGATATTTTAAAAATGTAATTCAAAAAAAACTTAACATGATTTTTAAAATCAAAATTATAAAGCAACAATAAAACAAAACTTAAGACAACTTATAGATTTTTCTTTATTACATATTTTTGTAGTAAACTCAGTAAAACAAAAGAACTGAGAGGTAATTTTTAAACATATATAGAAAGGAAAAATAAACTAAACCTTGAAGTGTCATCTAGATTTTTTTAAAAGTACTTTATTTTATAACTAAAAAACCTTATGTAAAATTTAAAACAATATTTAACAAGGACCAATAAATTTATTGTCACCTTTAAATTAAAATCACCTTCAGGTAATTTTGTTTAACTGATTTTCTTTTAAATATCATTCAAAAGGCTATAAGTCACCTTTAGGTTTCCTTTATAAAGGAAACCTAAAGGTGACATAGAGCCTTTTAAAAGATATTTAAAAAAAAAATCAGCCAAACAAAATTACCTTAAAGTGACTTTTAAAACAAACTGTAAAAAGCAATAAAACCAATCTTAAGGCGGCCTTTAGATTTTTTAATTTACATTTTTATAGTAAAACTCAGTGAAACATAAAGTAGTCATCGAGATTTTTATACAGATGTTTTTTATATCTAAAGAATCTTAATGTGAAATTTAAAACAATATATAACAAGGAACAAGAAACTAAACCTTGAGGTGCAATTTAGATTTTTTAAAGATACTTTTATAATATATTTCATCGAAATAGAAAAGTTATAAGACAACTGAAGTTAAAGACTGAAGGCAAAAAAATAATAAATAATAATAAGTAAATCATAAGGCTTTGTCTTGATTTTCTTTTGACATTTCTATTTGAGTTAATTTAAAAAAATTAACAATTAAAATTTAACTTTTAAAACAAGTTTATAACTTAACTAAGAAATCGTCAAGGTTTAACGATTTACTGCTTATAATATACTATATACCTATAACACATATAATGAATGGTGCACATTTTATTAAATGAATTATTTATGATGTATTAATATAAATATAACATTATTCAACAAATTTTGTTCAAGTATTATTTAAAAAGATTAAGTACCATAATTAAAGTCAACTTAAGACAAGGATGAAAACATGATTTTAAAAGGATGAAAACATGATTTTAAAACTTTTTTTACCTATAGTGTCATTAATTTTAACTTTGAAAAATCCTTCTTGATCAATTTTTCTTTGAATATAGAACTTTGCAAGATTTTCTGGGTGACATTTTTCTCTTTTACGCACTAGATTAAAGGATTTATTTACTTTAAGATTAGTAAATAAATTAAACAAATGATCTTTAAATACTTTTTTTTTTTCTTAATTATTTGACACTCAATCAAACTAAAGTTTTGTGAAATAACCAAAATAGCTTAACAATAAATTATACTCAAATTATGAAAAAAATTATAAACAACTTATAGAGCTTTGTTTTAAAACTCAATAAACAATAATATTGACTTTGACAAATTAAAGTATATATACACACTTTTAATTTTTTTGCAAACATTAAAATTTAAACACTGCATATTAGTGCACACATTAAAGTGTCTAAAAAAAAAGATATATAAACAAATAAAATTCAATATTACATAATCATAAAGTTGATAGCATATTTGATTTATACTAGTTGAGAAAAAAAGTTATTATATACAATGTACATTGTGGTACGTTGTACAATTCATGTGGTACATATTTTTCATGTGGTCTGAATAGCATGTAAAAAAGTGAAGGTTAACGGCTAAAAAAACTCATGTAAAGACCATTTATACCTTTTTTAATTATTTTTTTAATCATATACTATAGAGCATATAAATAATGTCTTATGTACAAAATTCAACCTTATTTATATAAATAAAGTAACTATAATTATAGTTATATTTGAATTGTAACAAGATGTGCTTTACATAAAATGTCAGACACAATATATTACAAATATAAGTTTTGTGTACATTGAATCGATTACAGTATAATCGGTAAATATGAATAATAAAACCATAAATTCATACTAAGCATTTATACTTACAATAAATTTTATCTTTTATTTGATCGGCCATGTGATAGCGCACTTAGATACAAATTCCGCTGTGATTTGACTATGGCGTAAATGCAAGTTTTTAACGCTTTTTGAACATGTATATTTTTTTAATACGAACCTCTGACTCAGTATCTAATCTAAAATTAAGTATTTTTGGGTATTAAAGAAGCTTTAGTTCTATATTGTTCATAAAAATACTTATAACTCAAATACATACCTGTTTAGACATTAAAAAACTAGCACAAAGGAGAGTGTAGCCGTAACGCAGCTTTACTTTGCATGTAAAATTTTTCATGATATACAACCCCAAATTTACATGGCTCATAACTTGAGAAAAAACATTCTTTTTAAGAGAAAATTTAAATAACAAAGGTTTTAGCATTACCATTTAGCATGATTGTAATCTTTATAAATCTATATAACAAATGTAGAATCTGGTTAAGAAACGTTAAGGTGACCGAAAAATGTCACCTTAACAAAAAAGTCGCCTTAAGTATGCTATTTTTACCGCAAATAGTCACCTTTAGGTTGATCTAGGAATATATATATATATATATATATATATATATATATATATATATATATATATATATATATATATATATATATATATATATATATATATATATATATATATATATATATATATATATATATATATATATATATATATATATATATATATATATATCATATATATATATATATATATATATATATATATATATATATATATATATATATATATATATATATATATATATATATATATATATATATATAAATATATATATATATATATATATATATATAAATATTTATATATGTACATATACATATTTATATAATACATAATATGTATTTAAATAAATATATATGTTTAAATATATATATATATATATATATATATATATATATATGTATATGTATATATATATATATATATATATATATATATATATATATATATATATATATATATATATATATATATATATATATATATATATATATATGTATCATATGTTATATGCATATATATATTATATATATGCATATAATATATGATACATAAATATATATATATATATATATATATATATATATATATATATATATATATATACATATATATATATATATATATATATATACATATATATATATATATATATATATATATATATACATATATATATATATATATATATGTATATATATATATATATATATATATATATATATATATATATATATATGCATATATATATATATATATATATATATATATATATATATATATATATATATATATTATATATATATATATATATATATATATATATATTATAAACAAAATACCCATAACATTAGATTTTGGATTCTGATAACGAATTCAAGAAAAATCTTTTTTTAAAGGTTTTTTCCCAATTTCAGTAACTTAAGATGTGTATGTACAATTGCTTTTTCTGCTAGTATTGTATAATATAAAAAAAGTAATTACGATTTAATTTAAACAGAAAACAAGGTTATATATATATATATATATATATATATATATATATATATATATATATATATATATATATATATATATGCATATATATATATATATATATATGCATATATATATATATATATATATATATATATATATATATATATATATATATATATATCTTATTACATAATTATGTTTATATTATACCATTATAATATAGGTATGTTACAAAAACAGATCGCCGGCCGCGGCATTTTGGCTCTTAGTTTTTGTAACAAATTTCGCATGCGTTTTTTAAGTACATCAGTTCTTTTTAACTTGTACTCGCTATAGTTGATACTGATAACGTAATTTGCTTACTGAGATTTTGAAGAAAAAGAATTACACTTTCATTTCGTGCTACAGTTTTGTATTATTCTTTGCTTCGTTCTTATTTGTCTAGATTTAAAATTCAAGGTAAATTTTTATGTTTAAATTTCACAAAAAGTTGAACGTGGACTTTCATTTAACTACTTTGGTCATATAGAGCATTCATTCATCTATGCTGTTACACTTTTTCAAATTTATAGGATATTCCCCTGATTTTTTTCTCTACTGAATAAGAGTTTTTTTATTTTTGTGTAGACAGCCATTTTTAAATTTTTAGTAATCATAGACTATTATTTATTTTAGGTTATATCTGTTAATTAATTTTATTAATTATTCTTAGATTTAATGTCACAGTACAAACCATCTCGCTACAGTTTTTTATACCAATTTTTTTTTTTAGTAACCAAATTAGTATTAATTTAATTATCGAAAAAAGTATAATTTTAGACTATGAAATAATTAAAGGTTTATTATATTTTTATTTAAAATCATAGGAACAACCGTTGCTTGTAATTATGTCTATACCAGATCATCCTATCAAAAAATTTGATCAAGGCCAGCAGTACATTAATGATACTTTTTAGCAAATCTTCCATTGCCATTTGAAGTTCCACTTTTAAATGGCAATATTAGTTCAGCTATTTTGCAAATGGCTCCAGTTTAATAAAAACATTTAAATCACTTGAGGAAAAGATTGATTATGTTTATAAACATGTTTATACAGATTATTACAGAATGCTTTATTAAATCAAAAAACATGTTTATACAGATAATGTATAATGCTTTATTAAATCAAAAAACATTGCTTTTAATGCTTTATTAAATCAAAAAACATGTTTATAAAGATTATTACAGAATGCTATATTAAATCAAAAAAAAATCAGTTAAATCACGCAAGCGCTAAATTTTCCTTAAATTTTTAAGTAACGCATTAAATTTTTTTTTTTTCAGTTATAAAAGAAGTCTTTTTACAACGACACATAGACACGTTCTAGCTAATTTTTATTTTTGTTATCAGTTACTTGAAAATTGTGCTAATGTTGATACAGATAATGAAATTTTTACAGATAATTGAAGAAACAGTTTAAAACTGAATATATGCCATACTATGTATATATATATACTTGATATACTATTAGTAAAGTATTGCTATTTCAAGAACCAAGTTCTAACAATTTCAAAGAAATAGACATCTCATGCAGAATTGAATTTTTCAATAGGAAAACCTGTTGATAATTGATGATCATACCTTCTAGTATTTTCAGAGTTTTCAATCATTCAACCAACCAGCAAGTTAATCCCTTAAAAAAATGTTAATCCTTAAAAAAAATATTTGTTTAAAAATGTTAATCCTTGAAAAAAATGTTAACTTGTTTAATCAAGCGCGACAACGAGTATATAAAGTTTGAATTTTTGTTTTGTTTAGTAATGGAAAAAAACAAACCATTACAACAATTTCAAAACTCGACACCGCCAGTAGCTATTGTAAAACCGTATAAGCCAGAACCTGAAAAACCTCCTAAAATGTGTCACTACAGTGGAAGTATATAATGAATAAATTTTGTAATTTTTTTAAAGTTGTTAATAGAGATTTGCACAATTCCTTTAATGTTATTGGTTGTACTTGTTGCTGCATTTATACAATTTGTGATATCTTGGATCATGGGAGGAGTATACTGTTTAATTTATTATTTTTTTGCAGTTTGGTTGTGTTTTGCAGCCGATGCTATTGAAAAACATAAACAAAAAGTAAAAAAAGAATGAACTTGAAAGAAATAAAAAAGTCATGTAAAGATAATTTAAATTTAATGTGGAAGTATATAACGAATAAATTTTGTAATTTTTTAAATTTAATTGGAAGCTTTTTAAAGTTGTTATTCAAGATTTGCACGTTTCTTTTAATTTTATTGATTGTATTGGTTGTAAAATTTATACAAATCTTGCTACCTTGGATAATACGCGGAGTATATTGTTTAATTTGTTATGTATTTGTAATTTGCTTTCGTTTTCTTTTATTTTATTTTTCTATCGAAAAAGAATGAACTTGAAAGAAATAAAAAAGACATGTAAAAATGTTTTAAATAATCCAGTGAAAAGAAAATATAAATCAATCAAAGATATGATAGAAAAATTAGATTGTGTTACAGAAATATCAAACGAAGAACTTTATAAAATATGTTTTGTATTGTCATGTATAAAAAGAAAATATTTTTATATCGTTGTAATCGATACTCCGGGATACAAAGAAAAGAATTCGATTTTAGAATCGTTTATTAGGTTTGACACACGTAACAAACAATTAGTCGTGTTATTAAAACGATTGGAAAATATTATCAATTATTATAAAGGATACGAAAAAATTAATTTAAATCACGAAAAAGTTTACGGTTGTAATACAATTTTTAATAAATTAGAATGATACAAAAAAAAATATTATTTTCTAATTTGATTTACTCCATAAGATATTCCTCCCGAAACTGCACCTCCTAAAGCAGCTCTTCCTATTACGGGTAAAAGTCTTGGTAAAAGTCTTGAAGCTATTGCTCCTATCGCTCCGATAAATTTTCCACGCATTCGTCTTTTATTACGTCTTTTGTAGCGTCTTTTGGTGCGTTTTTTTTATTTAGTTTTTTGTTCATTTTTTTTAAAAGAGTTTACTAGCTTCCTGTAGTGTTACCAATAATGGTATTCCCGCTAATATACCCGTTAATCCTGCAGCTAAACCTAAAGCTCCTAATTTTTTACCACGTATTCGTCTTTTTAAACGTCTTTTATAGTTCTTTCCTCTTAGTCTTTTGCGCATTTTGTAAAAATAAATTTGTTAGCGAGGTATTAGAGAAGGTAATAAACCACCAGCCAGTAAAGCGCCTAATATCGGAAGAAATTTACCGCGCATTCGCTTTCTTTTACCGGCTCCGTTTAAAGGAGGTAAATAGACTCTTCCTTTTCCTCGATGTCTACGGTGATGTCTGCGATGATGTCTTCTAGACATTGCGTTGTTTTTGAAAATAATCGAGCACGTAACCTCCTAAGTCAGATCAAAGTAAACGTCTAGCTATATTTTTTACTTTAGTAAATATTCTGCCTTTTCCTCGATGATGTCTACGTCTATGACCTTTACCTCTTTTTTTTCTACAACTATTGCAACGTTTTCGCGCAAATATAGGTTTTTTTTAAAAATAATAACAAATATAATGTTGTTTTTTAATTTTTTTTAATTGAAT